GTATTGCTATAAATCATATTTAATGTTCATGCAAATTCTAAATTTCTCACAAAGTGTACTAAGTGAGGCACATTTTAAGCACAAACAATATCCAGGGCATTTGGAGCAACATTAAAAATTCATAAAAAATAAATTTTGATCTTAAAAAGCCAACTTCCAGAGCTCCATTTATCATGAAATTACCCCAGAGGATGCAAAAAGTTACTACGTAACTTTAGAAACAATGGTTGTCTAACACAGCACTCACAGGTTGATATGTACCTTTTGTCAATTATGGTCACATATAAGAATGTATTATATGCATTAGTAAAAATTCTATATGTACATTCTAAAATACAGGAAATGTTTCCTGTTTTTCTATCACTTTTCCTTATAATTGTGTGTGCCACTGCTTAGGTACAGTTTTCATGGATTAGTAAAGTGTATGAATCAAGTTAGCAAATTAATAAGTTAACTACAATGAAGCAGCTAAAAGCAAGAAAAACAAAAAAACATACAGTACATGTACATGTATCATTAACTGAAATGACTATAAATACACATGTACATGTATATGTATCAATTAATGCACAATGTTATGAAGACAAATTGAGGTAATACTGTCCATGCAGTATAGCTAATAGGAGGAGCACATGAAATTAAAGCTAAAATCCCCCTCTCTCTCTCACTCCTCATTATTTCAAGTTTTCTCATTCAATCTATTCTCTCATCAACATTATTCTGATACACATGTACATGTACATACATGTATAATGGTACAGTACATGTACATGCATCCATTTCCATTAGTGTATGAATCTGTTTCAATTCCATATTAGGACTTACATGTACATGTATCCTTTTCACAGACCATGAGACGGACATGATGGTATTACAATCATCATCAAGAACACATCATTTTATAACTGGAGAGAGAGAGAGAGAGAGAGAGAGAGAGAGAGAGAGAGAGAGAGAAGGAAATAGAGGTTGAACAAAGCACAAAATGAACCACTCATGAAAATAAATGGTCTAACTTTGAGGGTATATAGTCAGTAAAGTGTAGTCCAAATGTCAAAAAGGGGAGGGGCTGTCTTGAGAGACAAAGTACCAGTACACAGTTCTTTACTAAGTTCTGTCACCTAATTAGGAGCTAGTTTCAAGAATCCAGTCCCATCCTTACCTACCAGTGAGATGATATGATCATATGAAATAATGAAATAAGAGAATTAATTTCATGTGGTGTGTGTGGCCTCAATTGAGCACGCCCTGTAGAGTGAGCCACTGATAATCGTGCACCACCTATATTCGAGCTTTTTTTCACAGATCTGAGTGCTCTTCAGCAATGGATGATATTATCAACTTGTAGTAATAATGTATCTTTACAGTTGTAGAAATTTGCAGCTCAGTCCGTAGTACCTACGATTTTAAACTAAATAATAAAGTGTTATTTCAATCGCCCGCTGATTCGCACAACTGGCACATTATTGCGTTTTCTTGTTACAGCTCAACAAATAAGCAACATGCAAAGGAAAAAATGCACTTACAGACAAGACACATCATTTAATGAATGATTCCACTGCAAGGGTTTTAGCTAAAACTCGACTTTACAAAAGAAAATAATAAAGTACATTGCCAAAACCACGCCCCTATAATCGT